AATAATAGCATTTTAAAACAGAGTAATTACCCCTTCCATGCTCGAAGTTTCCAGCTTGTGTTTGATGAGGAACTGTGGTCTGGAGGGAGGAGGCTTGTCACCTGAATCCGAACCTTCCACGTAGTTTCTGAGATCAGCAAGTGCCAGCTGCTCAGTGAGCTCCAGCTCGTCGTCATTGGGAAACATACTCGTTAGCAGCTCTATCTCTGCAAGCTGAGACTCGGCCCACTCCAAGTAAGACATGTTTATAAAGGCAACGCTTTTTACAAGTTAAACTCTTTTTAGCGATAACATTTCCAGTTTAAAATTCATTGTCAGAGCTATCATGCTAAATAGTTCGTTTTCGAGTTGTCAGTGGGTTTTAACATGTAGATGTCACATGAAAGAACCGATGAGCTTAACAAAAACTAAACAAAACCAGATTAAACTAAATGAACTACACGTCAAAAAGAGAAAAAGAAAGTAATCTTGTTTAGCACATGAGTAACGCGTTTAGCTGTTGAATTCTGTTTCCACCCGGACTGTTCTGAACGGTGCACACAGGAAGCTGTGGCAGAAACAAATGGTTCTTTTTTGTTCCTCTCTTAGCTGCATGTGTCATCTGTTTCTGCTTAATCGGCGGAGTGATATTTTACGAGTTTTCCTTACGATTAATTATGTTTTGTTACTTTAAGCTTGAATCTCTTGGCTGCAACTAACAAAATATGCTAATTATGTTTGTAATAAATTATGTTTGAAGATTTCTTCCATTCAGAGTACCGGTAAATGCAAGTGAAACGGTGAGTGTTTAGACAATAAGTTGGCTTTAAGAAGTTAATGTCATTTTTATTTTCGAGTGAATACACTGAACTGTTAGCTGTCTTTTTAGTTTAGTACTACTGTAGTTATTGGTTAAGGCATGTGCTCTAATGTTTTGTCTATTTTGTCCATTCATCATTACACTATATAATAATGTGAAGATGGGAAAGAAAAAGGGAAAAGACAAGAGCTCCAGAGAGGATGATGAGTTTGATTTGACAGGTATAACAATTGTTTATTTTATACATAATTATACTGTTAAAATGCTGTTAAAGACCAGACATAATTGTGACCATTTTTATTTTTATAGGTCCATCCTGCAGGCATATCAAGAAGGGAACGGACCAAACATTTCTAAAGAAACTTTCTGGGACCCCTGATTGGACAGGTTGCCAGGACTGTAAACATGAGGAGAATAAAGAAAATGTCAATACAGATCTACCACAAGAATCTGAAGAGGAAAATGAAACTGGTGGAATGTGGATGTGCTTGAAATGTGGCCACAGAGTGAGTTTACACTGGTGAAGTATTTTTTTGATTTGAATTGTGTACTTTTATTAACTATTACCATACTTTCTGCCAGGGATGTGGAAGAAACTCTGAGAACCAGCACGCTATCAAACATTATGAGACTCCTCGATCAGATCCACATTGCCTTGTAGTCAGTTTGGACAACTGGAGCGTTTGGTGAGTTTCAATTTTGTTTCATTATTTTTGCAATACAGACCAAGAGGACAACTTGTTGTTTTTGTTTGATTTAATATTTCCTGTTCCTTTAGGTGTTACATATGTGATGATGAAGTTCAGTACTCCAGAACAGGACATTTAGCGCAGTTGGTGAGCAACCTTAAAAAGCAAACGTCAACAGATCCCATAAAAAGACCGTATAAAAGTAAGTATCGAGTGTCTTCTAGTTGGTCAGTTGGATTAACAGGTTTTAATGTTGGCATTTGAAAATGCAAACACAGCATCAAAGAAAGTATGGAGCAGACATTTAACACATGACAGTGACTGGTGTATCAGTAGAGCTTGGCTGTCTTTTATATTATTTAGCATTTGTGTTACCATGTTTTAATAAAATGGATTAGTCCAACAAAAAACTCTGAACAAAATTGTTTAATAGATGAATAATTTCCGACTATTCATAGCCAACTGCAGACAATGGAAATAGTGGCAGTCATGTAATTTTCTGTCATCTGAGCTCAGTTTGATGTGTGTACTATTATGAACTGTGTAGTGTGTACAGTATTCACTTACTTGAAGGGTTATGTGTGTAATTTGTGTCTATCTAACTGTCTCAGAAGATGTATGACTTAGATGACTCGTTTCTGTCTCAATTTACAAAGTGGGATTAACACATTAATCCCATTTCTGCAAAAGATGGTGTTCTCAGCTAACAATCCTATTTATTACAAATGCATTTTAGGAACAGCAGGTTCCTTTTTAAATATTTGGTTTGGGTCCCATGGTGGAGGTCGCAAAAATAGACAGGATTTACTTAAGAGAAATAAGATGAGCGTTCCATAACCACCAGGCTTGTTTGTTCAGGAGTAAAGGAGGAGGTGGATCTGTTGGAAGCTAAACAGACTGCAGAAACCATAAACATGGAGGAGAGTGAGAACAATGAAAACAAAGAAGGCAGGAATCATCAAAAGAAGAACATCAAGAAAGGGAGTGTTGAGAAATTACAAAATCACAAGGCATCTGAAGAAAACTCTGGTGCTCCAGTAAGAGGGCTGAGCAACCTTGGAAACACCTGTTTCTTTAATGCAGTCATTCAGGTAAGGTGTGCCTTACAAGATGCCTGTCTGAAACTAAATTAATGTAATTAATTGCTAATTGTTGTCATTGTGTTTTGCAGAATCTTTCTCAAACACAGCTATTGAGACAGATTATCAACAAAGCGACACAGGAGAAAAGGAGTCTTGAGATCAAACCTGACACCTCTTTGAAACTGGTGTGTTGTGAATATATAGATGTTTATTTTCAACCCTAAAGGCAGCACATAAACTTGACCTGTTTTACACTGTTCGTTATTTTAGACAGTTTTATCTTATATTTATTACAGGAGCCTGTACTTGTGGAGTTGGACCAGCCAGGATCCCTTAGTTTGGCTATGTGTAAGCTACTTAATGAGATTCAAGAATCCAAAAAGGGCGTGGTAACACCACGGGAGTTGTTCATGCAAGTTTGCAAAAAGTAAGTTCCAATTAATCGGAGGAGATAATGCCATTAGTTGTGTCTATATACAGTGGTTTGCAAAAGTATTCATACCCCTTGAACTTTTCCATATTTTGTCACATTACAACCACAAACATAAATATAT